GAAAACCACACCAAATCCAAATCCCCACGTGTTGCCATGATCTTGTGTGAGCACAGGAGAAGCAGCTCCCCATGCCCAGAATTTGGCCTGCAGCTGATCTGAGCAGCAAACTCCAGAGCTGTAGCAGTCATTCTGGGCATGCCAGGAAACAATCTGCCAGTCAATGGTCTCTGGCTGGGGCCAGGCAGACAGACAAGGCTGCCTGCTGCAGCCTGGGCTGCTTTGGCCAAGCAGGCCTGGACTCACAGGGATATAGAGTCCCACTTCTTTATGGGAAATATCACTGGAATCCTTCAGGGACATTGGAGTGGAGGTCAGTGCCTGTGCCTACCTGGAGATGAGACTGGCCCATGCAGTTGTCAGGAGATTTTCTCTGCAGGATTACAAAGTTTTTCTTCAGAGTCCCCTTGGCCATTTCACTCTTCCTCAGTGCAGCACTCAGGAGTTGAGCATTCTCTGTCCCTTTGATTTCTTCTCTTCCTCTCTTCTTCAAGGCAGCAGCAGTCCCGTGGTCCAACTCTTCTTGCATGTCTTCCCTCTCCACTTCCAATTCCTGGGTTATCTTCTTCCCTCTTTGGATGTCAGGTGCACCCATGTCCTTTTCCAGGTCTCTCAGCTGCTGGTGGTACAATTCCCGTTCATGCTTCCAAAACAGGGAGAAGAAGACTCACTCATTGCCTCCCTTGGTTTGCTTCTCATACCAGATCTGGACTCCTGCTGCAGGGGCAGGCACGTGCTGCCCCCCTCTCTCTCTGCCTCTCGGGCTGCTGCAGACCTTGGCTGGGCCCTCCTTGACGCTGCCTCTTTCCCAGCTCGCTCAGCCCATCCCAGCTTCCTTTCTGCCCGTCCCCGACCTCTGGCAGCTCCACTCCCGTGTTCCTTTGGGCACGAGCTGCCAGAACTGCAGCCAGGATTTCAAGTCAATGCTAAGCAGGATTTAGGCAGTGCCATGAGGATGTGCTCTCCATCAGGAAGGAAGAGAAAACACCCTCAGCATTTCATTCCAAGGCCTTGGGGCAACAGGAGTGGTTTTCTAACACTCCTGTGTAGACTTTCCATGGCAGCATCCCCGAGAGCCCCACTGCCCTCTCTTGCAGCACCAATGGCCAGATCAGTCATTCCCTGCTGCCACTCAGGACGAGTTCTCCCCTTGCAGGCACACGTCCTGATCTGCATCAGCACCTGGCTTTCCTCTCTTCTCTCCCCACTGCCTGCTCTCACACGGCCAAGGCCAAACACCTTTCAATTAACAGCAACCTAGGTCTTCTCATCCCTCCTGCCAGCTCCAGATATTTAGAAATCTGAACATGGATTTGGACACCAGAAATTGCCCAAACCATGCAATGTCAATGGAGACAGTGTGGACATGGAGAACTAAAGCTTCCAGGGCACAGAACTCCAGCATGGAGGAAAATCAGCAGCCTCAGTGCTAACTGGCTTTGACATGGCTACAACATCATTTCCTCCTTGTTCAGAAGAATGCAATTAGGAAAGTTAAACTGGAAAAAGGTGCTCCTTAGAACTGGTAACACAAGGTGCAAACATAGCTAGGAAATGGCCCTTTGTGGCATCTGCCATTCTCACCAGCACATCCTGCCTTTCCTTCTCCTGGCTCTCCAGTTTCCTCTGCAGTGATGCCACCTCTGACGAACAGTCACAGCCTCTTCCTTCAAGGCAGTTTCTAGAGAGGTCTTCTGCTGTTCTGCCCTCCATATTGCTGCAGGAGGGAAGGGGAAAGAGAAGGGAGAAAGCAAAGCAAAGTAAACTGATGGGCACCCTGCAGAGACAACAGCACTGTCTTCTCTGCCTGCCGAGGTTTGCCAGGCCTTAAGCCCACAAGAGCTTCCAAAAGTGAGAGAAATGAAGGAAATTTCCAGGCAGAGAAAAAAGCAGGAATGGCAGGGGCAAGGTTCAGAGGAATAGCAAAGTGTGTTTGCTCTTGGCCTTGTGCAGAGTGAACAATCCAAGAGAGACAAAGCAGCTGGGATGCCTGTGCAGCCCTGCTCCAGAGAGGCCAATAGCCTGGAGGCTTTGACAGGGCCTGAAATTTGGGGGAATTGAGCTGAGGCATCCAGCTTCAGCTGCTTAGCACAGACACAGCACCTGAAAGGCACCAGCTGTGTATGGGATCAGCCACAGCAGAGCCAGTTGGCACCGCCAGCCACAGCATCATCCTTGAGATAAACTTTGACTGGCGCCTGGATGGATAAGTCTCGTGCTGGTTGTTTTTCCTGTCTGCCATCTCTGGGCAAAGGCCTTTACCTCTGCATGGGATCAGAGATCCCCGCTGGTGGAACAGGATGGGGCAATGGATGGGAGAGAAGTTGTACCTTGCTGAGTTTCCTCCAACAGTGTCTGCAGCTCCTGATTGCAGGCCTTGATTTGGTTGTTGTCAGCCTGAGCCATCCTCAGCTCCATCTCCATGGCCTCACAGTGTGTGGCCATGGCCTCTGCTCTTTCCTCAGAGCTTTGGAGCCTCAGACGCAGCTCAGACATCTCAACCTGCAGCACATGCACAGCGTCCCTCAAGCTCTGTTCTCCTGCTTGGGACTTTTCCAGCTCCTGCAGCAGCTCCTTCTCTTGAGTGTCCTGCTGAGCTGCCTTCTCTGTCACTGCATCCTGCAGGGCCTGGATCTGGAAGATGGATGCAGAGAGCCTCAGGGACTGGGCTGCTCCTGAGGCAGCAGAGCGGGCAGTAGGGAGGAGAGCATTGAAGGAGAAATGACTTCAGGTAGAAATACACCAGAAACAGAAGGTGCAGAACCAGGAATCCAGTAGAGACAAAGGTAGAGAAAACAGGGGAAGGGAGGCAAGGGGCATCCTTGAGGCTGCAGCTCTGAACACGGGCTGAACTGGCTGTGGTGGAAGTGCCCTGCCCAGCCTGCCATAGCCACGTCTGTGTCCCCACATTGCTCAGTGCCTGGCACAGGCACCAATCCTGTCAGGGACAGCACTGCTAACAGAGGGACAGAGAAGCTCCAGAGGAGTGTGCTGCTGCTTCTGCTCCCAGATTTCCTGCTGGGCCCCAGGAGAGAATGGGGGAAAACTTTGGCAGCAGACACCAGATCCAGCCTTGGCCTGAGGGTGCAGCAGCAGCAGCAGGCCTGGGAAGAACATGTGGATGCTGCTGGGAGGGGAAAGAGGTTGGGACTAGCATGCCAAAGGTGGTGTTGTGTGTCCCTGGAGAAGAGGATGGAGTGCACAGCTTACCTGGGTGTTGAGCTTCTGCAGTTTTCCTGGCACAAATTGAAGAGACCAGTTTGGCCTGCTGAAGAGCAGAATGAAACTGAGACAGCTGATCCTTCAGCGCCTGGTTCTTTTCTTCCAGTGATCTGAGGCACACATTCTTTTCCTCCAGAGACAGAATCAGCCTAGAAGGGAAGCATGCAACTCATTACTAATGGTATCACATTTTATAAACTCCTAGGACTTGCACCACCTCAGAGAAAACTGCTCTGTCCGATGAGGTTTGTCTAAACAACTTGGCTGTTTGTTCCCCCTGCAGTCACAGCCCAGCATGTGCCCACTCTGCTTTTGTTCCTGAAAGAACAGGGAGTTCCTGCCTTCATGGCCTACCTTCTATTTGAGATGGGAAAATGAATACAAACCTAACAAAGTCCTGCAATGAAGACATTAGGGGAGAGGAAGAATTTTCTTCTGACTAACCAGGCTCCAAGGGGAAGAGGTTTGGTCAACATGGAAGAGACGTTTCCTTCCCCCATCTTGTATGTCCAGGTGGGAGGAGCAGCACCCTACAGCCAGGGGTCGTCTGGCAAGTTCCCTGAGATTTACCAGCACCCATCCTACTTTCAGCTGGAGGAACAAAGGCCCAAGGCAGAAGTGGCAACAGAGGCTTGGAGCTCAAGCTGATGGAAGATGCAGAAACCTCCAGGCAAGCAAGAGTGCTCTGCCTTTCCTTTGTCTTCTTCTTGGAAGAAGAATCCTGTGGCACTGAAGACTGGCTTGACTTGATCAGCTGGAGGAGCCCCCCTAACCTTGCTCTGGTTTCTTGCATTCTTTGCACAGTCAGTAACACCTGTGAGTGTGGAGGGTGGCAGGGACCCTGCTTGAGCCCCTCCAGGCACCGGGGGGGCATTTTATCAGGAACAATGCACCAGAGACATTCTTGTTTCTCGGGTGCCTCCCAGGGCAATCTGGGCTTGATCAGCACTCAGGGCCTTAAGAAGGTTCTGCCCAGCAAAGGCATCAGATGCCAGGCTGATCAGATCCCAAAGGCCTCAAGTTACAGCAGCCAAGGTGGAGCTGATGGATGTATCCAGCTCCTTACACTGCAGCTCCAGCACTGTTAACACACCCACCTAACCTAACCTAACCTAACCTAACCTAACCTAACCTAACCTAACCTAACCTAACAGCACAACACTCCCTAGAGGGAAAGAGCTACCCCAAAAGCCTTTGTCTTCAGAAAAACTCCAACTGAAGGCTTAAAATATTAGAGAATGAACACAACATACAGATAATGAGATGTGTCTTCATGGAGAGTTCAGAATCTGCCACTTAAGAAATGCTGCCAGAGCCCCAGGCAGGTGCAAAGATGGCAAAGAGGGAATGCATTCACCACATTGCAGAGTCCCACAGGCTTTCATTTACCTGTCAAGGTGCAAAGATGGCAAAGAGGGAATGCATTCACCACATTGCAGAGTCCCACAGGCTTTCATTTACCTGTCATTTTCACTGTCTAGGAGCTGCATGAAAGCTTGCAGTTCTGAATTTTGGCGTGCCACTTCTTCCCATTGTTTCGATTCCTTCTCCATTATCTGTAGCAGCACTTGGAGCTCCTTCTTCTCTTGTTCTGCCTCCTCCAGCCTCTTTTGGATGTGCTCAGTCTCCAACATCTTCTGCTGCAACTGTTCCTGGGCCTTGCTCACATCTTGCTGGGCTCTCTGGACTGTGCTTTCCTGGAACTCTCGGGAGGCTGCCAGCTGAGATGTCAACTCATCCACCTCCAGTCAAACAGAACAAAGCAGTCAGAGGCGACAGCCACAGCCTGCCACTGTCAGCCACAGCAGAGGCCATGAGGAAAGGGAAAGGACAACTTCCCATTTCTCCCTGTCCTGAGAGTGCCGCGGTGGGGTGGATGGTAGGGGTGCCATGAGCTCCCTGAAGAAATGTCTTTAAGAAGACGGCACAGGGGCTCAGCCACCTCCCTCGCCCCATGAGTGATTTTCAGCTCAGCCCAGCAGCGGCTCTCAGGTGACGCAGAGAGAGGGACTGAGGCGCTGTGTGGCGTTCCACAGACAACTAGCCTTTCTTGAAAGCAGGGCCCTCTGTGAAGGGAGCCAGGGACAGCAGCTCTCTCCAAGAGGAGAAAAACTTGGGTTTATGTAGAGAAGGAGAGGGGCAGGGAGAAACTAGTAACAGGGCAACTTGGTAAAGTGACAGGGGAAAAACCAATGGGATACAATAAATCAACATGTAAGTTCAAAGGTCTCTGAGTAAAACATTTCCCCTCTCCAGGGGAGTGCCACAACTCTTGCTGGCCGACTCCTCAGCCCCCACATGAGAGCACCAGATTCACAATGGAGATGGACAACTTGGTTAAGTCTCTGAGTGGCCCACTATGGGCACCTAAAACAGCACCTCCCAAACCAAGAAGAGGCCAGCAGGAGTCCATGCTGATGGGTGCTGGCCAATAGCCCAGAGGACTGGCCCAGCTGTCCAGGGGGCAGCAGCTGAGATTCAGCAGAGCACTGAGTGTCCTTCAGAGCAGCTGCCATGGAGCCCCCACAGCATGAGGCAGCCCCAGGGATCACCCCATCAGCTGCTGCTCTGCCATGGAAAAGCAAGAAGGCCACAGAGTCCTCCCTGGCTGACTGCAGTGCCACTGCTGTTTCACTCACCTGCTTTTGTAGAGCATCCCTCTG